AACTAGAGCTAGATAATAGCTTTGGCGTCGAAAAGTTCCAATCTTCAGATGATGATATAAAATATTATACTGGCATGGAAAACTACAAACAGTTTAAAGCATTGTACAACCTCCTTGATGGTGAAGTTGGTGCGTGCTCTCTACTCAACTTTTGGGGATCAAATAATTCCTCTTTTCAAATAGAATATGTAGACTCCTCTTTTCAAATAGAATATGTAGACAAGCGAGGAAAAAAACGTCATCTACTTCCAATTGATGAACTATTTATGACTATGGCTCGCCTTAGAGTAAATTTGCCTGAACAAATCCTTGCTGATTGGTATAAATCAGCAATCAATCAATCTGCTGCCGTGGGCCGGGCCCACATAGCGCTTTCACAAAGGATCTCCACGCTTTCCGATCTTGGGCAGCTACCATCGCTTCATGGAAGGAGAATAAATCAGCACATCAGAAGTATCAAGGGTATTTGTCACCTGGCTCAACTTCTTGTTCACTAGACTCACTCAACTACCAACTTGGGCATCTAGAGAGACAGTAAACAAGGCCATGCCAGAATGTTTCAAGTACCAGTATCCTTTTACAAGAAAAATCTTGGACTACACAGAAGTCTTCATAGAAAAACCCTCTTGCTTCAGAGCTCAATCAGAGACTTATTCCACTTACAAGTCTCATAACACTGCAAAAGGTCTTGTAGGTATTTCACCTCAAGGAGCAGTGACATTCGTCTCTGATTTGTATGGTGGTCATGCAAGTGACAGACAGATAGTTGAGTCTTGTGGAATTGTTAGTTTATTGGAAGAAGGGGATTCAGGTATGGCTGATAAAGGCTTTGAGATTCAAGATTTGATTGTCAAACAGGAAGCTTCTCTAAATATACCACCCTTTATGAGATGTAAAGACCAGCTAGATCCAGATGAGGAAGAAGAAACAAGAGAGATTGCAGCAGTACGTATACACGTGGAAAGGGCAATTGAAAGGATTAAGAATTATAACATTCTAAAACCAAATAGTGCCAAACAGTATGGCAGAAGACTAATCTGTGTATTTATGCAAATATCATTCAAAAAGCAATGAAGTGCGACATTCGATCTTGTGTGACAAAGCCGCATAAATTATATCAAGCGAAGACCAGCATTCGGTGTATACCAGAAATAACAAAATATTTTCTACCAAGATTGGAACACAAAGCCTATAAAAATTACAGCAACTATTAGATAAAGAATTGAGCTATTAGTACAAGGAGAATAAGAGAAATCTCTGGAGCTGTTTCGAAGAAAATGGACTTTTCGTGATTTTTAACAGGCCGTACAATTTTAGCTAAATTTATCTCCAGTAAAAATATTGTAATTCTTTTGATTTGAATGGTATAGAACTGAACTTTACACACACTAATTTTATCAAATTGATGTACAACATATCGCAAGATGGCAATCGGTTGTATATTTATTTATATACGGCTGTTTATTCTATGTAGGTCATATTTTGGACTCATTTTTGAGCCGTGTTCATTTTTTTTTTCCTGCCCGAGATTTTCCAACCAAATTCATAGCCATTGTGTAATTTTATGAGATATACAAATTCTGAAAATTTCAAGATGATCCGACTGTTAGTTCTGTAATTGAGCAGTTACAGGCTGTGGAGAACGCTATAACTTCAAGTAATCCAACACTTCAGGTAAGCAAAAGACCTTAGAAACTGATTGAGAACGAAAAGGAGTTAGTACTCTTAATTTTCTTAARCTAGAGTCAAGCCGTAACCGGCTTTAGTATTGCTTTAAGCTATAGTAACTTTGCTATACTTTCGCATGAAGTTTGAACGTCACTGCACACTTAGCTTTAGGAATGTTCCGTCTAATCATGTTACTAGTCATTATATTTTGTATAAATAGCTCTTAATTTGTATGCGACATAGTTTTACAATAACAGGCTTTTCATTGCCAGTTCAACCCTTAAGATGATCACTGAGATAGCTGCAAAACAAGTTGGAAAGTGATGTTGCTTGTTTTACTACGCGCGTACCAACTTGCCTCGCGTCAAAATGGCTTGTTGCAAGTTGGAAAAATTTGTTGCAGAAAGTAGAAGATCGTTCTACTTTTTGCAACRAAATCCGTCGATGTTGCTCGTATTACTACAGCAACCCAACTTGTCTCGCAGCAAAATGACGTTTAGCGCGCGCAAGCCAACACCAGGTGATGTTTTTAGCCAATAAGAAATCTAAACTAATTCAACTTGCAACAAATTGTTTTGCTGCGAGACAAGTTGGTTCGCTGGTAGTAAAACGCGAAGCATCGCTTTTAAACTTGTTTTTCAGCAATGTTGCAAGACAATTTGGACGTTTTTGTTGCTCGTATTACCGTACCTTAAAGTGCACATTCACGATTTTTTTTTTATTATCTAAAACAATTTGTATGAACCTTGTAAGACTTTCTGTGAAAGTTTGGTGATTATTTTGTAAACGGTTGGGACGAAATCGGAAAAATAAAGCCAAAAGTAAGTGCGTCAAATTCTTTTGTCCGAGAGGGGACTGGCGCGACTCTTGTGACGTCATCCCAGGCCATAAGTTCGGTCGCAAAAGACTAAATGCCTTATAAAAGTCTATTTTTCTCACAAAAATCAATAAAACCGCTAAGATTGAATGTATCAAACCGTTTTATATTCACTGAGAATTGTCAAGCGCTTGCCGTGAGCTCAGTAGATTTGAATTTCAGCAAATTCCTTGTCCTCGGCACAGAATACGGAATAGTCATTTGAGGCACTTCGAAATTTTTACCTCGCGAAAGACTATGTACATACACGGCAGTCAAATGGCCATAATGAAATAGTCTCCTTCATGCCATTTTAAAAAGGGTAGCCATGATGCCTTTGTATTGAAGTGGGAAGACCAATTTTATGATTGCATGTACAAGGATTTAATTTTTTTAATGTTTTTCTATTATCATAAAAGCTTCTTATCATTACACGCTCGACTGAGGAGTCACCTCGCTTCTTATGCAAAGTCATGGCTACCTCTCAAGATTGTAGAGGGAACCATGAAGAAGACTGTTGTACTATTTTGTCATCCACATTTCAGTTGTTAGTGTTTTTTGAATGTGTTTTTAATCAACTTAATAATAACTATTTGTCAATTACTTTAAGTTGCAAAGATCATCATACGCCAAGTATTATTAGATTCAAGGAGGTCTCAACTTGAAGAACTCAAAGAGGGACTGAGAAGCCTTGACTTACTTTCCCGTATACAAGAGTACCCTGAACGATTCAGGGAAATTTTTACTTCAGAGTCAGTGGAAGCAATTGATGCAGCAACSGTCGATTTGCTCTTCAAAATTGCATATGAKGAGAGTGGATCCAACCAAAGACCAGACCAAGAACGTGCCATAGTWTTCTRGAGGGATTACCTCCTTGATTGTGAACGTAAGCATAATGCTWACATACCAAATCCAGACTCAGACTCTCTCCAGATTCTACTGTCATCATCATTTCTTGATAGACTTACTGTTAAAAAAATAAACTTTTATTTTTACATAATATGCATTTTAAGTCTTTCATCAGTCTCAACTTTCTCATGGACTGAAATACCTTCAATTCAATTCTTTTGTTTGTGATTATTAACTGATTATTATTATAATTAGATGCAGCATACTAAATTTGATATTCTATCTGATATTCATAGGGTCTGAGGCCTCAGCAACACTGCAAGACATTCTAGTCTTTACAACGGGATCAGGCCAGGTACCWCCTCTCGGTTATGGTGTAACACCATCGATAGAGTTTATCCAAGAGCGAMTACCGACAGCAAATACATGCTCGGTTACCATTCGTCTTCCAACAGTCCACGAGGACTATGACAAATTTAAAGAGTCCATGGACTTAGGAATTCTAAACAGCCCTTTGTTWGGGATCGCCTAAATACATGTAGAAACTTTATCTTTATCTAGTTTTTATSAGATTAGCTATGCTCTTTGAGCAAAACATGTTTAACTTTAGCYCCTATGATTGGCTGCCATAGCTAGTGTGATGCAAATAGGCCTTATTCACAATATAGACCTTTTTTAACGTTTAATATGGCCGCCATCTTGAATTTTGAAGAAAATGGGATGTTCAGGCCCCGGGCAAAGGTGCACATTGTTATGTAGAATGGCACCGAAAAAATAATTTCTTTGAGCATTTCTGTGTTGTAAATTTGGAATTATTACTTTAAAACATCCAAATGTATTTTGTTTTTTTATTATTATTCATATTTTAAGATATAGTATTCAACATCATAGCATTCTAAAAGCCCTACAGTCTTATATTTTTTTGTTTGTTTAATGCCCCTGGGCATCCCATAGTTTCTTATTGAAAACAATAGAATTCAAGATGGCGGCCATAACGTTAAAATGGTCTATTATTGCTGCCATAATGGCTTTTATATTCATAACTGGACGTCTTTGTACAAAGACAAAGACGTCCAGTTATGAACAGTACAAGATCTTTTGAAGCCTACATCAAAAAAGATTACTCAAAGGCTTTTATATTGTAATGTAAATTATCCTGCGTACTTCAACGGGGCAAATATTAAAAAAAAATTCAATAATTATGTAGCTCTATGCCATACGTTCTTACATGAAACATGTTTTCAATATATCAAAAGATATCTCTCAAATTTTGGGAGTTTTAGAACTGATGTTTTCATAGTCTTGAAATAGTTGAAATTGGGGATTTCATGCACACATTTTAAGAAAACYAGAAAAYTGTACCATAATGTTGTTTGCCCCCTGCAAGACCACATGGCTAATTTGCATTATAATATGGAACTATTATGGCAGCTATGCGGGATAATGGCAAATCTTCTTGCACATGAAAAATTATTTACTGATACATTATTTCTTTACTGGTAAAATTCAAGGGATTTGTTCATTTGATAAAATAATATGTGCATATTAAGAAGAAAATTTAAAATTGTATCTATAAGCTACTAAAATATCAAAATGCATTGTTTGTGTTCTTTTTTTACTTCTGGAAGACTGCATGGCTAATTGACAAAATAAAAACCGTYATAGTGGCTATAGGAAAAAGATTTACGGTATTTACAGTATGCGAATTTGCAGAGTGCTAACCATAATTATATGAAACAAATCTCAAAAGTTATTCCCTACAGTTTTTTATTTCATATTAGTCACTATCACTCAACTGGAACATAGGTATTATTTCACAGATAAATTGTAAGCACTATGAAAAATGTTCAGTGTATTCTTGTCATKCTGGGTCTAAATTCTAGAAATGTTTAGAAAGTTATGACCTTTGTTGTGTTTTAATTGACAAAACAAGAAATGTCTCCTAGGGTGTGCCTACAAGTAACACTTCAACTGAGGTTAATATTCACCATGAATTGTCTAGAAGGCTTCATTTGAATGTATGTTTATATTTTTTTAAATAAAGTCTAAACTTTTGTTACTGTTTCATCTTTTATGCCTAATTTAGTAAAGCATTACCGACATATTCAACAACTTGCCTATACAATTGAGGTCGCAACAAATTGCTTGCAAGAGGATTAATTTGCTGGCMGAGAATTTGAAACYGCTGAGTATTTAAAGGGTTAGTGATCTCTGGAACAACAACAATGTTTGGGTTAGAGGGAACAGTACTTGGATTGKCATTTACAACTTGAGGAAAAATACTATGCAATGGAAGCAAATGTTGATTTGAAACAAAAAGCTGAGTAGGAGACAAACTGTGCTCAGTTGAAATTGAATGGTGGTTATGAGCATTCACAAATTCACCCAAWAGTTTGTTGATTCTTGGAAGGTAAGCATAATGGAGGCAAAACAAGTCTGTGTCATTAGATGGATCCAGAATWCCTTGGCTTTCTAATGCATACAATTCTGGTTTGATCACYTGTTCGCAATGTATGTTCAAATCACGATTGAACCGTTCAACTCTTTGATTGTGTATGGAACCTCCAGTTAATCCTGCCATCACTGCTGCAGGTGAAAACTGTATCATATTGCGCCACACAGATACATTTTCTCCCCCTTTATCAGTTCTTACTTTAAGTGGTCGGCCATACTGATTAATCGCATCTTGAAATAGGCTGAAGACAGTTTCTGATCTATTGTTGTCACTACATTTGCAAAACATAAYGAATCTGCTGAAACCGTCAATTGCTGTGTGTACCACAAAGCCCCATCGTATGAGCTTGTGATTTCCATCAATGTGCCATAGATAATTGGGACAGGGAACAAAATATGACCTCCTGTGTATTCTCATAGACCTCCTTTGATCTGCACCTTGTGGATCAACTCTCATGATAGAACCCCTTCCTTTTTTTCGCTGTATGTTCAGTCCTCGRGCCCTCAAATGTCCCATTATCATCACTTCCCCACAATTTGGATGATTAATTTTTATATCATGAACTATGTTGTCCAGTGTGTCATTGTCAACATCACTGTGGCGATTTGTATAGGAAATATTCAGATTCTGCATTTTCCTATACATTGCAGATCTTGAAAGCCCACATAGTTCAGCAATTTTGGCATTTGAAAGATTCATCTCCATGTATAATTCAATAGTTCCCTTATCAACATCCTTTTGAGGGCGCCCAGCTCTTCTCTAAAAAAATGCAAAAAAAAAAAAACACACGAAAGTTTAAACTGCACAAGCAGTACTGACTGATATGTTCTTAGATCGAAGTATAAAGTCAATTTCTCCAAGTTTATCAATTTTAAAGAGCATTTGCAGAAGCAGTGCTATTGTTCATATTTAAGCTTATTTCAAGTATTAAACTTAATGCAAATTATTTCTTATTTTCTCTTTCACTCTGATTTGTTTTGTCAATGTTGAAATAATTCAAAATATATTTATTGTATTTTAAAAGTATCAGTTTCATATAAGCTTAACTTAATAAAAACAAACAAACAAAACAAGTACTTAACTTAAGCTTAGATCTAATAGATGAGGTGACGGTTTTGTCCGCCATTTTGGACCGGTAGGCATAGTGTCGCAAAATAACAAGGAATGACCGGGAAATCGATGTCAAATRATTCTCGCTDAWTTHAAATTHAGAARGAATTATCATTTGCAAACGTTAGATACTGCAAAAAGGAGTTAACTGGCCAAATTTGAAAGGTGTAGTTGATCTAGAGAGCGAGTAAACTCATTTTTAGTTCTCCATACATTTCTTTGTAATTTCAATACATTTCGTTATAATTTCCGGGGTCATCAGTGCGTGACGCGCGTGAAAAATACAAAGAAATGTATTGAGAACTAAAAATAAATTTTCTCGCTCCCTAGACGAAACACAACCTTCAAATTTGGCCAGTCAGCTCCTTTTTGTAGTATCTAACATTTGCAATTGATAATTCTTTCTGAATTTGAATTCAGCGAGAATTATTTGACATCGATTTCCCGGTCATTCCTTGTTATTTTGCGACACTATGCCTACCGGTCCAAAATGGCGGACAAAACCGTCACCTCATCTATTAAGCTTAACTTATAGTTACTTCATGCTTATAATAAACTATATAGTCTATTACTT